AATTTTCTCCCGCCACTGCCACGGGAGTTCAAACAAGGTCCACGCGTGTAACATCCAATTTTAGATAGTTGTCAGATGTTGATCTGGGTGCCCGTACGATTCAGATTTCTGCCCGCGATCTTTCAACTGAACCACGTACGAAAAGAATGAATCTTTCTCCGCTCTCGAGTAAATCAGCCGGTCCGAATCTAGAATCCTGTCGGTCATACTATGAGCTAGATCATGGGCGACTTAGACTTGGCCAAGAACGAAAGGCACCATACTCATATTAGGACCATCAACCGGGGATGTTGCATATTCTGGGACGCAAGCTTGACTAAAGAAGCAGACAATCCCTCGGTTAATTCTCTCCCGCACCAACGAAGTAAGAGGCCATACCTTGAACACGCATGTCTCTGAATCTGATTCAGATCTGTGTTGGTCGCAATCGCGGTGCCTGCGTGTTTTGATACTGATATCTGTGTATCCGCTGTAGGGTGACCGAAGTTAATTCCATGATGCGAATATGCCATTCAGAACATACTGAATTGAACACACCTGTGGTAAAACGAGAGTCTATGGCAGCTCTGGAGATACCGTGATCGATTGATGATAATCATCCATTTAACTCCTGGTTGCGAACAGTTTTCTCCGCTGGTGGTTGCAGAATGCTAGTCGTCCTGCACCTACTTCATTGATTCAATGCCTTGAGTCGTCGCGCAGAGTAGAAAAAGCAGTATATTCCGGAAGGCTCATATTGACAGCGTCACCCCAGTCGTGACATGATGACGTTGCGGTCCTTTACAATGGCAGGGTCTACTGATAGAATCTTAGAGAGTGAAATCGCCGGAAGCACATAGATGCGATACCAGGGTCCATTTTGGTCGAGATTTCTGTTCCACAAACGGTTCTCAAGGGACCAGAGTGAGCGACACAGGCCAGAAAATTTGCAGAAAAAGATAGTTTGTTGCAAGAAGCACCGTGGGAACCAGTGAAGTCGGATCAGATTGTGCCCCAATGGGAGGTATCAACTCCGTCCACCTCAAGCTTCAGATTACACTGGCAGGCAATACCTCGAATCGATCACCCACCGAAATGTCCGGGGTTATAGGAATCATGGGTATCCCCCATAAGCCCAGCACATGGCACCCCTTGCATCTCATGTCATTTAAACGCAGCGGACCAGGTCTAGATTACAACTATTCCGATTCTGCCAGCCTCCAGGTGTTTTCCTTCTGGCTGAGTCTTCAACCATGTCTCCTATCCTCGCAGGCAGCACTTTCATTCGACCGCACATTAATATCGGCTATGGGCAAGACCACCCGTCTGGTGTCAGGTCACTTCCAGAGTTGATAGAATTCGACGCGTCTCATAATCCAGACCATATCTTTGGCTTTCAAAACCGTGTAGGGGACGATGTTTCGCCATACGAGATCACTTTTTCTCATCTTCAGTCGGGCGTTGAATACGCTTCGTCGTGGCTGGTTACTGCTGGATGCACCACAGGACGCACTCGCCGTGGTCAGCAGGTTGCACCTGTTGGCATCCTCCTCGGAAGTGACATTGCCATTTTTATTTATATTGCTGCATTGCTGCGCATCGGTACCCCAGTGTGTATCATCCATGCTGAACCTTGATCTTTTTTCTTACATGGTTTTCAGGTCCTGTTACTCTCTGCACGACTGACACCAGTAGCCATCGCACATCTGCTCAAGCAAACCTTGCCGTCTTGCGTGTTAACTAGTTCTCACGTCTCCAGGTCTTCGAAAGAAGCTCTCGAAATACTTCAATCAGAAGGCGCGACTCTTCTTCCGACCTTCGTTGACGCTCCTGGATACGAGGACCTACTAAGCCCCGATCACGACGGTGAGAATGTCCAAATCCCCCCGATGTACTCTGCGTACGAAGACAAGGACCTCGACGCCATAATAATGCACTCGTCGGGCACTACCGGTCTGCCGAAACCAATCTTTCACGGGCAAACCTATCCACTTCTGTATGCCGCGTGCCACCGTCTACCGGAACAACGGGAACCTTTCCGTTTCAACGTGTCGACTTTGCCTCTGTACCATGTAAGGCATTTTCAGGTTGCTTTCGGTTCATTTGTTGACATTGTGGATTCAGGGATTCGGACTCCTGGCCCCCTCCCTATCTCTCTCGATTGGGATGCCATTTATCTTACCACCCGCCTCGATAATCCCGACTGGTAAAACAACGCTCCGCGCACTTCAGTCCAATGGAGCACGCTACTTACTTTCTGTCCCATCTATCCTCGAGGAAATGATTCGACTCCCCGGGGACGAGGGCCTCGAGGCTTTGAGAGACCTTGAAATTGTCGCGACTGGTGGAGCTCCCATGAAGGAGAATGTCGGAAATGAGCTCGCCTCATCGGGCGTTAAGCTGTTAAACCACTGGGGTGCGCATTTCATCGGCTTAAAACTCTTGTCCGTAATGCTGACTAGTGTCTTATGATTAGGTTGCACGGAGCTTGGTGCCATTGCTCCCATTGAACGTATTCCACGAGGATACGATTGGCGTTACTTAATGCCTCGCTCTGATACAGGCCTAAAAATCATATCCCTCCACGACGGTAGCGATACGTACCGCCTAGTCGGGCATGCTCCCGGCTGGCAGGAACCCTTCGAAGTTCAAGATCTTCTTGTCACCAACCCTCACGACAGTAAACAATACAAAATTACGGGACGTGCCGACGATCTCCTGGTTCTTTCGACCGGTGAGAAAGTTCGCCCAACCAATCTCGAGCGCGCTGTCGCAGAGCATCCCAATGTCAAAGACGTCTTAGCTTTTGGAGCTGGCCAGGTTTCCCTCGGACTCATTATCGAGCTCTCCGCAGGCAGCTTCGAAGCCGATTTGAACGAGCCAGAGAACAAGGATGCCCTCCTTGCCTCCATACAGCCATATCTCGATCATGGCAACTCCTTCACCGACAAACATGGAAAAGTTTCTAACGAGATGATTGTCTTTACTCAGGAAACCAAGAAACCTCTCCTTCGTACTGACAAGGGTAGTCTTGCACGGAAATCCATCCTTGCGGCGTTCGACGCAGAAATCAAGGCTTGCTACGAAAGGGCTGATATCCAGAATGCCGTTCCTTTCCCCTCTCCTTGCGCCGATGACGGCTACGCTCTGCTGAACTCGATTCGTTCGCTGGTATATACTATTACCGGCAGCGACGATATCCCCGACTCCATCGACTTTTTCGAGTCAGGGATGGACAGCTTGCAGGCCAGTAGGCTCCGCAGATCTGTCCTCAACGGTCTTCGCGTCACCCCGGACCTTCCCAACCCTGTCTGCGACTTGGCAGCGGATTTCTGCTTCGAAAACTCCTCTATCGAAAAACTTCACCGGGCCGTTGCTCATATCATATCCGGGACCCAGGTGAAAGGCGTCGTGGGCGAGACCAGGGAAGAAAGGCGCATCAGGACCATGAGGGACATGGTTGATAAATATCGAGAAGAGCTTTGCGGTTTCGCAAATATCGCTGCCGATTCTCGCATCTCCCGCAGGAAGCGGAGAGCGTCTTTGGGGCACAAGAACGTTGTTCTCCTCACGGGATCGACCGGAAGTCTTGGCTGCTTCCTTCTCGCGAAACTTGCCAACGATCCTACCGTTTCGAAGGTCCTCTGCTTGAACCGACGTCACACTGGTGCTGCTACACCACTTCAACGACAGATGGATCTCATGGACAAACGTGGCGCATCAATCTCGAGCCAGGCTTGGAAGAAAGTCGTTCTCCATGGGGCAGACCTTAGTCGACTTGACTTTGGTCTCCGTGAAGAAGAATTCGCCAAGGTAAGTCCTGATAGCAATCTTTCGATTGGTTACCGTACCGATCATGTTGCGTTTTTTTAGCTTCTTGATGTCACGCATATCGTCCACAACGCATGGCCGGTCAATTTTAATCGGAATCTCTCGTCATTCGAGCCTCATGTGCAGGGGTTGTCAAATCTCGTTCGCCTTGCCTTACTGAGTGCTGGCAGGCGCTCCAATGGTTCGTCGCCGACCCGGATACTGTTTGCGTCATCCATCGCCGTCGCTGGTCGGTTCCCAATTCTCAATGCCCAAGGGCCATTCGAGGTCCCAGAAACCTCCCTCGACGCCGAAAACACAGCAGAATTCGGATATCCAGAAGCCAAGTGGGTCTGCGAACGGTTGCTACTCGCTGCTGGAGAGCTGTACGGCGATGCCTGCAGCATCGAGGAGCCATTAGTTCAGGCATCTAATGTCCGTATCGGTCAAATGACCGGGCCAGAAGGATCTGGCGCCTGGAACGAGTCGGAACATTTCCCTATCATCGTTCGGACGTCGCAACAGCTGGGTGCTTTGCCTGCTCTCCAAGGGGTAAGTGGGATTTTCATCAACATATGATTTACTGAGCTCATCGGATTTTTTTTAGTCGCTCTCTTGGATACCTGTCAATCGCGCTGGAGACGTCCTGACGGAACTACTTTTCTCGAAAGCCTTCAAATCATTCTATCACATGGAGAACCCTTCCCGGCAATCGTGGAGTGGAATTATTAGCAACCTCGCGGATATTCTTGGAGACACGCATGGCCCACTGCCTTCAATATCTTTACCCAAATGGCTTGGTCGCGTTCGCGAGCTTGGGGACGATCCAGCCCGCAATGCAGCCTTCAAGATCCTCTCGTTTTTAGAAAGGGACTTCCAAACGATGTCCAATGGGACAGTAATTTTGAGGACATCGACTGCCCGCCTGGATTCACCGACAATGGTGAGAAGTACTGCTCTGGATAGGAAACATCTTGAGGAATATGTTTCATACTGGAGGAGTACTGGAGCCATGCAATAATCGCTTTCCTTACTCTATCGCTGGCGTGGCCCTTGTGAATCATGGATAAACTTGATACCTATTACATATTTTTGTACTTCATATTATGAATATTCTTTCCGCTCCTTGAATTTTGATAGAGCTGCTGGTAAGCGAGCTTATCGACATCTGTGAATGTCAGAATTTTGGACAGACAGGCGAAAAAAAATGATTCGGGTACGGGGAATCGAACCCCGAGCTGCCGCGCACCGTTTATCTCGACTCAGGCCTTCATGAGAGGCGGCAATGTTAGCCGTTACACCATACCCGAATGATGAATATTTGATAATAGTAGCGACCTCGTTCACTGGCGAACTTCGGCCTTCTACTTCTGTTGTCGCCATGTATGATGTAATACCGATACTCAGGTTCCTGCCAGTGAGCCTCGTGTGAGTCAGTGCTTTACTAGATTTTCTTGTAACTCCTTCGCTCATGGATGATAATCAGTGACTTACACTGAGCAGTGAAACATGGATCGTGGATGAACTCATAACTACAAATCGATCTTCGAATCCGATTTTTTTTTACCTAAGTATCTTTATCGCCGTACTTCGCCCTATGTATTCACTGAACCACAGCATTCGAACTCCATCTTCAAATCGAGGTCTTCCAAGAACGCGAGATTTCGACTTAATTTCTATTCAAACGTTCCGATTTGCCTCTCGGAGCGCCTTCTGCCTCCGGGACCGTCGTCCGGCGCTTGAACCAGTCACGCCAGCTGATCCCTTAACTCCCAAAGGCTCGAACCTTGTAGCCGATCTGAAGATATCTCTGGCAGCTCATTGCTCGCGATCCATCTCGCAAAAGGCAATAACCGAAACACCAACTTCTCCCGTGATAAGGATAATACTTAATCGTCTGAAGGTAGTGGCACGCACGCCAACCCGGGGAGGAGGAACCTCCAGTTTCGAAAATATTCAGATTGGCGATGCATCCATGCGGCCTCCCTCCACGCCGCCACCTGTCTTGTCCAATACTTACATGGAGACTAGAATTCATGCCTTGCACACGACCAGATCTTGACCCCAGATGGATTCTGGCCTTCTATCTGTCGTGGGTAGTACACACGCTCCAACCGGGTTACGTCCAATAGAGTCTGGCCTTCACCCTCCGAAACAACTTGCCTACATGGCAGGCCAACCGAAACCCACCCAGCTCCGTGCGTCGTACATCACATAGTCGAATGTGACTACCATTGCCGACTCCGTCGCGCCCTTTCGCTAAAACATTGGTCATTCTTTGCCCGAGTCCTAAGCCCGGGGCTTCAGAGGCACATGTACACGCAGCATGCGTTCTCATGAAACCTGAAATCTTTTTTTTTCTGGGGCTGACCGGTAGACCACAAAGTGCTTTCTCATTCGGTTCTCACTCCCCGTCGCTGCGCTACTCCGCATGTGCATGTGCATTCCATAGCGCCCTCTGTGACTACGCGAGGCTCCAATGCAGAGATTAGCCGCGCGATTCGGTCAAGCGGATCCGAGTCTCTTTTTCCATCATGCAACTTGCAAGCGAGGACAGTAGCCATAGGAAGTCACTCATGACAAAACCATCCCTCCCGCTCCTCAGACATACATGTACAACGACTGGCACTCTTAGTGTTTCCCACTCAAAACTCTTGGCCCATGGCATACAGCATGATGCATCTGTCGATAACTTGACGTATCGGTCTGGAATCTACGTATCCTGTGCCACCGTCAGTGAATGACTCTTCCTAATTCCCATACGGCTCTAATGCGCTCAGATTGCATATTGCACATACTCGATCTATTTTCTTTCATATCGCATTATGCCGAAGCCATCCTCATGATTTTCTTCATAATATAGCAACCAACCTCTCCTTGGCAAGTTTTTCTTCTTGCCCGCAAATCTTAATCTCATACAAGCACCCAAATAGGCGCTCACCCATTTGGATTCATCGGCGCACTCGGAGACGGGTTAAAATGGTAGGTATCTCTGCACTGAGTTACCCCCGTCCGCCGCGCGAAAATCCCGGAACGATCTCAAACGTTTTCATAGCCGAGGGAAGGATTAAGATCTACATACGCGCGAGGAATAACCAATACATGTAACAAGTACAAGCAGCGATTCGAAGCCACTGCATTTGTGATCATGAAGACCCAGGTGGTCGCGTAACACGAAAAAAACAAACGAAGGAAGTATTGTGTTGTGTAGTAAAAGGAGCTAGCCGCGAAAATCGCAGGCCGAGCGTCAGCTTGGGAGTAAGCTAATGAATAAGTAAGTAATGAGCATAGTAGTAAGTACAGCGCCAGGGTGTTCTGTGAAGCGAGGGTGTATTGTATATCATGATAGGAGCGCGAAGAGGAACAGCGTCATGCCCGCGATGCTTGTCACCCTTACGAAACCCTCCGACATATCAGTCGACAGCATCGGCGAGCCCAGCACAATCGAGTGCTCCGTAACCGGGTACCCCTCGTCGTCGTCGCCGAAGAAGGCATACGTGGTATGAGCTTGACTTGGTGCTTTGGGGGTAGGCGACAGCGGAGATGTTACCCCCGCTTTCCGCGGTGTAGGAAGCACGACTGCGCGTGTGCTGGATTCGAAGGTACATGGCGCCTTGCACGATGGACACTGACCATCCGAAGCCGCTTCCTCGAGATACTGTGGGAATGACACGGGAACTGATAAGATCGCTAGTGACTGATTGATTGTACACGGGAGATGAAACGCACAGAGTCGGTGATGTGCTCGACGCACACCACAGTCCTGCAACAGGAGCTTCTATAGGGGATCACCGATATCTCGAAGCTGTGGACCACGCTGTGCATGATGGGTAAGAGTCAGAGTGTGAAATGGGACAGTGGCCAACGCACCGATTTGCGCCCTTTTCCCTGGTGGAGGAATCGTTCTTGAGATGGCTTTTGCGCTTCAAGATAGATACCAAAGGCCGCTTCGTTCGATGGGGGCTCGTACGCCCCGCCAGCGGAGCCTCATACGCCGGTGGCTCCTCCTTCTCGCCATACTGGTACTCGCATCCCTCAACAATGCTGTCCAAGCGCAGCGGCGACAACGGCTGGCTGAAGCGCAGGGTGCGCGACGGAGCCAACACGTTCGACATGGGGGTGGGCTGGGATGGGCTGGGATGAAATGGGATGGGATGGGGAACTGGAACACGTCCTAGATTCACTTATCCAAAGAAAGGAAGTCGTCTTAAAGAGAAAGCCAGGATACCGACCGGGGTATAAACACAAAGTGTACAGGCCTAGCTATCCCGTTTAAGGCGATGTTACATGTCCCACTGTTATGCTCCGCGCATTCAGGACAATAGATCTAAACGCCCAACCTGGACTCAGCAGGGATCTTGAAAATGATGGATGGGCCAATGGTGTTTCGTGTTTGATAATACCCAAGAGAATAACCCCGGCAGAATGGGCTCCAAAAAGTACACCGTGACAAGGCAGTTTTTGGAGGATCCGACCAACACAATAGGTCGAGCCAGAACAAGAGACCGAGGTGCGGCTGTCGAGGGGAGCACGAGAAAGCACAAATGTGAGCCACCAGCTCACACTTGAAATCTTCTATGAACATGAACCCACCTAACGTGCTGCGGATAGTGCAGATCACTCGTTAACTTCAGAACCGTCGTCACCGTCAGTGCCGAATTGTCAGGGTGGTTTTTACCCAAAACCTCGTGACGTCTGCACTCGGTGTCTATAAATAATACGGGCCTACAACAAGAACAAGCGGAGTCAAATTCTGCGTGTTCCTATTCAGTACAACATGACCGAACAAGGTACCCTTATCTCCCGCTCCTGCGCACGAGCATCCTGAACGTCTCAGATACAACCATCTCGCCATTCACGAGTGAGAGCATGTGCAGACTGACAGTGCAGTATGAGTGGAATGGGTACCCCGGGCCGAAGCATGAAGCGGACGCCTCGCCAAGATACGAGTAAGATAAGGCAATGCAACTGCACTACGCGGCCAACGCTAATCATCTCGCATCTCGCACCCGAACAACCATTGCAACCACTGGATGAATCGCCAAAAGACGGGGTACCGCGCGCGAGAGGAGTGGGACACGGGCCTCAGGCTCAAACCCCTTCCTTCCCCGCCTGGACCCCCTGCCTCCCATCATATCACACGCGCCTGACCCATTGCACTACGCGGCGAACGCTAATCATGTAGTACCCGAACAACCGCTGAATCGCCAATAGACCGGGTGGCGCGCGCGAGGCGAGAGGAGTGGGACACCGGCCTCAAACCCCCGCCTGGACCCCCTGCCCCTCATCGTACCACACGCGCCTGACCCACCTCCGTCGGTGCGTCACGCTCCCAGGAAGGCGGAAGCGAAAGGGAGTGGGACACCGGCCTCAAACCCCTGCCTGTACCCCCTGCCTCCCATCATAACCAGACTCGCCTCAGGCTCAACCCTTTTCCTTCCCCGCCGCGGCCTGGACCCCCTGCCCCCCATCGTACCACACGCGCCTGACTCACCTCCGTCGGTGCGTCACACTCCCGGGAAGGCGGAAGCGAAAGGGAGTGGGACGCCGGCCTCAAACCCCTGCCTGTACCCCCTGCCTCCCATCATACCAGACTCGCCTCAGGCTCAACCCTTTTCCTTCCCCGCGGCGACCTGGACCCCCTGCCCTCCATCGTATCACACGCGCCTGACCCACCTCCGTCGGTGCGTCACACTCCCGGGAAGGCGGAAGCGAAAGGGAGTGGGACACCGGCATCAACCCCCCGCCTGTACCCCCTGCCTCCCATCATACTGCACTCGCCTCAGGCTCAACCCTTTTCCTTCCCCGCCTCGACCTGCACCCCCTGCCCCCCATTCCCATCAAACCACACGCGCCTAACCCACCTCCTTCGACGCGTCACACTCCCAACATAAGGCCCCGCTCGCGCATCTCCCCACGCATCGTTAGTGTACACCCACCCGTCCATGTTCGTGCCTACCAATATAAGCGTCGTCAGAGATAGGGCAGGGTATGTATGAGTGGTGATGGGCTTACGAGTAGTGGGGAGATTGAAAGAGGCCCATGCACGTGTACGATCGCGCCGCCAGCCCTCGGTGCGCACGAACGCCCAGCCTGATGCGAGGGAGAACGTCAGATTGCTGCTGTGGGGGGTGGAGGCGGTCAGCATCAGTACGCTAACAGCGAAACAAAATGAAAAATGAAAAGAAAGAGTGGGGGGGGGGGTACGAGTACCACATGTACAACGCAGGAAAGCGTCGAGGTGTATGATACATGTAGTCAGGACCCACGCAATGAAGAAGCAAAAAGAGGCGGGAAAAGTAAAGAAAAC